GGTGGAGGATGCCGCCTCGTCTTGTTGTGTCACGGTGAAGGTCTTCCCCCATATGACCATCGCGTCGCTCAAGCAGCAGGTCTGTATGTGTTCCTTTTTCATATTGAAATGACCGTGTAACAGTAACAAGCGTAGATCAATCGGCAGATCATAAGCAGGCTAGTCAAGATTCAAGATCCTTTAATTGTCACATGCACAGTCATACAGGTACAACATGCAGTGAAATTTATCCTGAACCACTCTATTGACTGTGCAACTATTTACGAAGGATATGAAACAAATAAAAAGGAGAAATAAATAAAATTGCCGGGTATTCGGTAGTCAGTGGTGGGTTGGTTGCCCTTCAGGGTAGGAGGATCTGGTTGGGTGCCCTTCGGGGTGGGAAGATCTGGTTGGGTGCCCTTCGGGGTGGGAGGATCTGGTTGGGTGCCCTTCGGGGTGGGAGGATCTGGTTGGGTGCCCTTCGGGGTGGGAGGATGTGATTGGGTGCCCTTTGGGGTGGGAGGATCTGGTTGGGTGCCCTTCGGGGTGGGAGGATGTGGTTGGGTGCCCTTCGGGGTGGGAGGATGTGGTTGGGTGCCCTTCGGGGTGGGAGGATGTGATTGGGTGCCCTTCGGGGTGGAAGGATCTGGTTGGGTGCCCTTTGGGGTGGAAGGTTGTGGTTGGGTGCCCTTCAGGGTGGAAGGATCTGGTTGGGTGCCCTTCAGGATAGGACGATGGGGATTGGTCAGTGCCTTTGTCTTTGCCAGGTGTTCCTGGAGTACGGCTTTCACCCGCGGGTGCAGCGCTGGGTGATCGGGCAGTGCCTGTGCACGGAGCCCCGCTCCCTGGCGTCCTACGGCATACAGAAAGATGGCGACACTGCGTTCCTCTATCTCCTGTCGGCACGGCAGGGACGACTGACCCGGCAGATGTGCCAACAGGACCAGGAGAGTGCTCTGCTCACGCCAGCGCCGCCTGGCAACGGGCCTGCCAGTCATGACTGGAGGGGCTACAGTACGCTGCCCTCGAGGCTGTCCCACGGGGGCGCTGGTGAGCACCTGGGCACATGCGTAATAAAAGCGTATCATGTTACACAGACCGACGAAGCAGACAGAACCGCACTGAGCTGAATACCGCACATAGTTACACTATAACGGGCACAACCATTGACGTGCAATTTGTGTCGGTTAAGCATAAAAAGGTCAGCTTTCTTGTGATTGGCTGTGCAGGCAGTGCTGGGGGCGGGGCACAGAGGCTGGCGGTTGGAGAGTTCCAAGATCATCTCAGCCTGGACATGCTGCATTTGAATGAATCTTTGAGTTCCAGAACCAGTTCACAGGTACCTGTATATTACCCTGTAAATGTCTTCTTAGGCCTTTTTCCACCGCACCAGGTACCGTACTTTGTGCGGTGGAAAAGCGCCCTAAGAGAACTGGCTGCTATGAACCTCTGTAACTTGGGCAGATGGTTCATAGCAGTGCTTCCCAACCCAGTCCTCGGGGGAACCCCGGATAGTCCACGGTTTTGCTCCCTCCCAGCGCCCAGCCAATCAGGAACACCGAATACCTGGTACAGGTGCGCTGGGAGCTCAGAGGAAGCAAAAACGTGGACTTTGGGAAACACTAGTTCATAATACTGTGTTGATGCTGCTGCTTGTGTAAAAGGCAATGTTAAAAAACAATTGTCCACTTTAGAATTCCATTGTGTCTTTTGTAATATTGTTTTATGCCGCATTTGCACTCGGATGCCTCATGTCTTTCTCAGCACATATAGCCTGCAAGTCTTGCTTATTTGTACAGCCAGATATTCTGTTGAACCCCTTTATCGGTGGTTAGGAGTGTAAGTGGTGGATTCAGTCCTATGACCTCTGCTCTAGCTGCGTCTCCTGCTCTAGCTGCGTCTCTTTTGTTCTCCGTCCCACAGGAAGGATGGTCGTGTCCTTCCTGCACTTTCATCAACAGACCCACCCGGCCGGGCTGTGAGATTTGCAGTGCGGACCGGCCCGCAAGCTACACAGTACCTGGAGGTCGCCGGCCCGACCCGTTGGAACTGCGCCGTGTGCAGCAGGAGGAGGCAGTGGTGCATCAGTACCAGCGGGTAAAGCCTGCGCCCTGTGCCTTACGCCGCATAACGTGCGCAATTAAAACTACCTTGTGTCTCTGTGACTTTCTCACCGATTGCATGAAAGGTGTAGTATAGCTAGCAGAGTGTGACAAACTGACATCTGAAATGTCAGTGCAGCTTTGTTCGCGATAACTTTATAGTTAGAATTCTGTTTTCTAATTGTGTGGATTAAATGAATGAAAGCCAGTATTTTAGGGCAGCGTGTGGCTCAGTGGGCTAAGCCTGTGTACCTACATGTCGGTGTTAGGATAGAAACGACGGCTCCAGACTGAGGGCTACAGCCCCACGCAAGTCGGTCATACGGTTTTGGGGAGAAGGAGGGTGTGGTCACACTACAGACACAGACACACTTTATTACAGGATATTCAGCGAATCATCTCGCACTCCATGACACTGGAATGACTGACCTCATTCTTTCTGAAGTCTGCAAAAAGATCCACGGAATAAGCTATGAGGGCAGCTATAGAACCCATTTACACTCTTATATACGTACATATGAATGATCAATGTATACGTTTTTATGAAGTGCTAATAAGAGATCGCTAAAAGATCAAATTGAGTAAAATCAAATTGAAGGTCGCCGGTTCAAACCCAGCCTCAGCAGGTCTGCAACCAACCAGCTGAGTCCTCTGTGACTGTGACTCTTTATACTCAACTAGTTGGTTGAAACAAAATCCTGGCCTGGATTTGTACTCTCTGGATCTGAAATCTCCACCTCTGGCGGTGACATCTCGCATGTGGCTGAACTTACAGCCAACTTCCCCGAAGATACTGCGATATATATTGCCTATCACTATACTGCCTTAAAAGTAAACCATATTTCAGTATTTTATCATCTTTCGGAATAAATTGAAAGCTTTTTGCAAGCGATCTGTTGAGAACTAATCTGAATGTTTGACCACATCTATATGTAATCTTGACTGTTAATAAATATAATGACTGTTTCATTATTGTGTGAATAGGCATCTCCCCAACCTGTACGTTCTATTCCTGAGCCTCGTCTCTGTTATTGTTTCCAAGGAGACCACGAGACGCGAGGAGGTGGGGGTTCCGGGACAGAAGAGCTCGCTGCTGCTGTACAGTTTGAACCAAGGCCACGTCCGGGACTACTGACGCACACACTGGTACTCAGTGACTCAGCTGGACTGTCGCATGTCTGTACCTCACCAGCTGTAAAACAGTACCCAACGAACGCTGGTATGCAATACCAGCATGTGCACACACAGATGTTTGGATGAACTTTGACTCTCATTGTCAATGCCCACTCATAAGCCCTTTTTTGTACAGAGTCCTTGGCAGATCTGTATAGCCGCGAGGGCACGGAAATGCACGTCAATCGCAGATGCCCAGCACAGCACAAAATAAGCGCTTTGACCTTGTATATTTCACAATTTGTTAATGATCAGGGAGTGGTTTCTGAACACATTGAATGTTTTACTTGTGTCCACCTTATGTTCTTTTTATGTTTATAATTCTGTCATTTTAAACTGTGAAAAGTTCTTAATATCTACTTATCAGCATAATCCTGTATTGTTTTGATGTCTTGAGTTGGTGGGTGGGAATATTTGGAGGAGGTAGGGTTAGGGTTAGGGTTAGGGAAGTGCAATTGAAAGATTGCTGGTTTGAATCCCAGACCAGCAAGGTTCTGCTCCCCGGGCGCTGAATTAGCTGCCCCCTGCTATATCACAATGTCATATATGGGTTAAATGACACATTTCGTGCTGTGGTGCGTCAACAACGACCACCGATCACCTAATTCTGCATTTAAAAATGGACATTTTATAAAGCATTTTGTTCAGTTATTCTGGTGCCAGATCGCATCACACCAGGACCATTTAACTCATATGCTTGTTCATGAAGTAAACAGCCCCCAAAGCATCATGTACATGTATTTCAAAATGTAACTACATCCTGTTTTTATTTCATAAATCAACAGTTCTAATAAATAAATTTAATTGACCTGCTGGCTTTTTGCTGTTCTACTTGCAGACTTTATACTCTGTGTGTAGGGGGGTGGGGTGGGGTGGGGTGAGGGTACGCACATCATGTTCTATGTCTCCCCCCGCCCCCCCGGACATGGTAGAACAGTGTTTCTCAACCCAGGCCTCGGGGAACCCTGGACAGTCCATGTTTTTGCTTCTTTTCAGCTCCCAGCGCACCTGTTCCAGGTATTCTGTGTTCTTGATTGGCTGGGAGCTGGGAGGGAACAAAAACGTGGACTGGATTGGGAAACACTGTGGTAGAAGCTGGGCTTCTGGTTGTTCTAGAGGACCCGACCTCCTGAATGTTGTTACAAACACGCTCAGCGGCCACCATTAGGTGCACCTACATCTAAGAGAAAAATCTCTACAACAGGGGTCTCCAACTCCGGTCCTGGAGAGCTACAATCCAGTCGGTTTTCAATCCTACCTGGCTTCTGATGAGTCACACCTGTTCTCATGTAAATACCAGGAACAGGTGTGGCTCATCAGAAGCCAGGTAGGATAGAAAACCTACTGGATAGTAGCTCTCCAGGACCGGAGTTGGAGACCCCTGCTCTACAAAAAGTGATCAAAATTCCAAATAGGCAATCGGTTATGGTTTTCATAAGTGTTCACCTCTTTCAGGTCTTCAGGCTTCATCAGAATTTCCCTGCATTTTCTTGCATTTATTTTGCCCTGCTGAGAATCACACAGACTTTGTGATGTGGCCCCCACCCTGCTTCAGAATGGAGATGTGTACTCTTGGGGTGATGTGCAGTGTTTGCTGTTCATCAAACACCAAAAGAGCATTTAGTTTGAGCTCAAATTTGGGTTCATTAAGACCTTCTGCCCACACGTTCCTTACATTTCAACTATCTGTAGAAGGTTAGGTAGTAATTAAAAGTTAAATTGTTAAACACACACAAACCCAAATAGAGTAACAGCCCACTTTATTTTTTTTAGTAAAACGTCCTTGTCACAGTTAAGATGCACCACCGCGTGGTCATTTAATTTCCGCTCCCTCATTTCATTTCTGCTCCCTCATTTCCTGTCCTATCTTCAGTGATATACCAGTATAGGGCATCTTGATGGAAGGTCTCCATTTTTTTTTCTTAACTTGCATCTTTACCACAAAATGAAACAGGTACTCAGGGCCAAAAACATGCCTGAAGAGCCCCAGCTTCACATAAACGCAAACCTCACGCCGGCTCCCCCCCACCGCTCACCATCCCTCAGCCGATTCAGCTCTGCCCCGGACCCTCCTCACGTCGCGGCCGCCCCCACCCCCCCTCGGGTCTATTTCCAGAAGAGAATGTTCCAGAGTAGCAGCCAGCAGGGGTAGACTAAGAGGGAGATGAGGGGGTAAACCAGGGAGCCGTACAGGTTATGGTCCAAGATGCCCTGCGAGATGACAGACAGGAAGAGGCTCCAGCCGTCCAGCAGGGAAACCGGCGTTTCCTGCAGCTCCTGGTAGACGAAGACGGAGAAGAGGAGCGTGCAGGCGGGGCTCAACAGAACCATGGCCAAGGCGCTCGGGATCCTGTGTGAGAGGCACACGTGTCAGGATAGCAAAATATTATATATAATCGCTCCTAATCAAGCGATGTATGTGTGTGTATTATCAACACACACACACACACACACACACACACACATGTAGGGTATACATATCGTTATGGGGACCGCTCATTCATTTCAATGGGAAAAATGCTAACGCTAACTATGACAACCTTAACCCCTACCCAGCCCTAACCATAAGTAACCTAACAAAATACAAGAGTCTTTGCATAGCAGTCACCGATTTTTATAAAATAGAGTTAAAAAAACGGATATTTATCACGATATGGGGAAATTACTGTATGTCCCCATAAGGATAGGTAAACCCGCTCACACACACACACACAGCCTGATGGGAGCATGGCTCAAATTAGAGATTAAAAAAATAAAGCAACTAAATGCCATCAAATACCTCATAATTTATCCAAGAGCCTTGATTAAAATTACTATGGGACATGAATGCTGTTTGCTTAACCTACATTAAGCACAAGTTGCTACATACCATTCATCAGCAATGAGCATGGACTGTTCTCAGTATTTGCATCGACATTCCCTGTCCACATACTCCAGTTATAAAAAATGACAGACTAAAGATAGTTACAAGTATTGCTTTACATAGTCAGAAGGAGGATCAATTTCATACTTGACCACAAAAGTCAAGGGCGTCATGGCGATGGCTCGGCTTACCTGGGCACGTGGGGAGTGATGAAGGCTGCTACAGGAACTAGCGTGAGGGCCAGGATGAAGCCCAGGGAGAAGTTGATGAGGGCAGTGCAGGCCAACAGAACAGCCATGTAGAGAACCGCAACCAGCTTCAGCACACGCCAGCCTTCCTCTGTGCCCTGACCAGACAGCACCCTGACGCACACACACACACAGAGAAACCAGCTTCAGCACACGCCAGCCTTCCTCTGTGCCCTGACCAGACAGCACTCCGACACACAGACTTGCGATTTGGCTATCAGTTCAGCCATCTAGCCTACGTTTCCAGCTCTGTACACACACACACACACACAGAAACCAGCTTCAGGACACGCCAGCTTCCTCTGCATGCGGAGTGTGTACCTGTGCGTGTTGTGTGGCAGCGCCAGGCCCGCAGTGTAGATGGCGATGGCCGTCAGCACCACAGCCTCGGTCTCCGACACGGGGAAGTGCTCCACAGCAGCCTGCTGGGCCAGAACAGGCAGCGTGTACAAAGCCACCCCTGTGAGGTGGCTGATGACCACCGGGGTCATGACTGACAGGAACCCAGGGCTGGAAGGCTGGGGGGACGAGAGACAAAACCCACAACACTGTGAAATGGACTGGAAGCATGGAGACTACTTCTGTGCATCAAAAAGTGAAATATTTTAGTTATTACACAGAGCATGAGAGTAAAACTGTTTTTAAAAATTCAGACAGTCATTAGATATGCAGGGGGAGATTCCTGACCATTTAAAGCCCGCGATGCCTGCAAATGAGCATACAACGTGTGCAGCTATGAACTTAAAGCAGTTATAATGTTAGTGTTCATCAGATGCAGTGACGACCTTACAGTCAGGGCTGATCATCACCTACAAAAACCTGCATCTGTGACCAGGCTACAGATCAGCTTGTGCTGGAGCTGACGCCATTCAGACTGACCTGCTCTCCGTCCACCAAGCCATCCACGGCTGCTGGTGCTGCACCCTCCAGCTGAACCCACAGGTCAAGAGCGTGAAATGGGGGGGTCAAGGACCAAGCAACCTGCAAACAGCTGCTCGCTAGCGCCACCCAGTGGAAGACTGGCCCTTTATGTAGACCTCTTACATGGTTATTGCCTCTCTTAAAAGTACTTTCCCAGTAAACATTTCAACCAAAACAAAAATTACACAGATTATACATCCACATACATAATTACCCGTTTGTTCCATAAAGATAGAAATTCCACGGTTAGCATCTTGGCTGAAGCAAAAAAAAGTCTTAGTTTTGCATATTAGCACCATTTGTTTTCAAACCTAATTCATCTACAAAACATCAGATAAATGATTATATACATCAGGGCAATTCAATCACAGTCCTAAAGGCCGCTCCCTCCCTGCGCCCGCACCACCCCCATCCCCGCCGGTCTCTCCCTGTGCCCGCACCACCCCCATCCCCGCCGG